GGCTGAATCCTCTGACGCCTGCTCCCCCCTCCTCCGTGCTTTGGGACCAGGCTCCTCCTCCGGGCTCTCCTCACTTCCGCACGCCTCCACATTTGAACTTGGCGCGCGTACGCTGCTTCTGACCTTCCTTTTGACAGTTACACTGCTCTCGGTACTACTCTCCGCCCCTTCCGGCAGGACGTCTTGCCCCGATCTCCTTCCCTCATCTGCGTCTCTCTCCCTGAACCCCTGACAGCACCTTAAAGACCAACTAAGTTAGTTCTTGGTATGAGCTTTCGTGTGCATGCACACTTCTTCAGATACACAGGTGAGGTTGATGGACTTCCATTTCATGAGGCTCAATGTGGTGCCTTCCATAGTTCCAGTTACAGATGGGTAGCCGTGTTGGTCTGCCATAGTCAAAACAAAAAAAATTCCTTCCAGTAGCACCTTAAAGACCAACTAAGTTAGTTCTTGGTATGAGCTTTCGTGTGCATGCACACTTCTTCAGATACACATGTATCTGAAGAATGTGTATCTGAAGAAGTGTGCATGCACACGAAAGCTCATACCAAGAACTAACTTAGTTGGTCTTTAAGGTGCTACTGGAAGGAATTTTTTTTGTTTTGACTTAACTTTGTCAGAACTTCAATTCTGGTGGCAAATAAAGTTGCAGTCCACAACCTACTGAGCTGGCAATAGCTTTGAAATAGTTTAAAGAGAATCACTGGCAGATCTACTTGGGAGAATTGTTGTTGTTTAGTCGTTTAGTTGTGTCCGGCTCTTTGTGACTCCCTGGACCAGAGCACGCCAGGCACTCCTGTCTTCCACTGCCTCCCGCAGTTTGGTCAAACTCACGCTGGTAGCTTCGAGAACACTGTCCAACCATCTCGTCCTTCCCTTCTCCTTGTGCCCTCCATCTTTCCCAACATCAGGGTCTTTTCCAGGGAGTCTTCTCTTCTCATGAGGTGGCCAAAGTCTTGGAGCCTCAGCTTCAGGATCTGTCCTTCCAGTGAGCACTCAGGGCTGATTTCCTTCAGAATGGATCTTCTTGCAGTCCATGGGACTCTCAAGAGTCTCCTCCAGCACTAGAATTCAAAAGCATCCATTCTTTGGCGATCAGCCTTCTTTATGGTCCAGCTCTCACTTCCATACATCACTACTGGGAAAACCATAGCTTTAACTATATGGACCTTCTTGGGAGAATTAGTATTCCTGTATTCTGTATTGCAACCTGGTCTTGTACTGTTTTTAGGCACACCAATGTTGCCACCAAATCACCACAGGGTTAGCAATGTCCCAATGAATTTTCCTCCTACTTCCCTAGAGAAAAGGGCATTGGAATCTCTAAAAAGTCCAGTGGAGGCAATATGTGAGCAGAAACACAGGCAGAAACACCAGCGTGTGAGGAGATGCTGCAAATATTTAGAGGGGAATCATAGACATAAAATCCACACAGAAACACATCATTGCTTGTTTCAACTTGCTTGTGGGAACAACTCAGAGGCTGTGAAAGAAGGAAGGTTAACAACAGGAAGAATTAGAGGAACTATTGGAAGTGACTATGAAAAGCAGTAGAGATATGAAATGATCAGAACCCTCCGAACTTGAAGCATGGGAAGTCCTATTAGAAAAATTATAATTTGGCAGAATATTTGGATTATTTGATATGTATATGTATAATTTGGAATATTTAATGTGATTTGATTGGTTTGTTAAAGTGGAAAATTTAATAAAAATGAATTGAAAAAAACCCCAAACAGAATTGGCCTCCACAGTCACTTATGGACTCATTGTTAAAACCATGTTTATGGAAGACAATCTTACTCGGCTACGAGGGATCGCCAAAGAAGAAGAAGACCTTTCAGCCCTTTCCCCAGCTGCAGCCAATAAGCTATCCTTCCATCATTCTCTCATGAGACAAGTTCTGCCTGGCCTAGAGCTGTTGCTCTCCGCCACCACTACCACCAGTAATTGGGGAAGGTGGCGTGTTTTCTCAAGTGGAACTTTGTTTTGTGGCTTTTCTTCCACTAAGATCAGACTGCCTTAACCTTAGTGTCTAAGGTTAGCCACTGATGGTGTCTGTTCTCTGTTGAGCTGTGATCTCTGCTTGCTCTCTCTTGTGTTGTAGAGTCAGGTGCTTTCCAGTAGTAACTTGCCTTCATCAACATGTCAGCCAGCTATAGTACAATGTGGTTGACTGGGGCAGCCATAAAGCAGCAAAAGGCTTTGTTCTGCTTGGCTCGGTGTTATTAGCCACAATGAAATGGGGAAACTGGAGATCTTTTTTTTTTTCTACGACACACTCTCTTAAACTATATATACACAAAAAGTGCTTGAAAATTAAGTGTTTGTTTCCCTGGAGTTACAGGGCAGAGTAAGTGGTAAGCCACAAAAGAGATATGTGCACATTTTCAATGACTACAGTATTTTTCGCTCCATAAGACACACTTTTTTCTTCCTAAAAAGTAAGGGGAAATATCTTATGGATCCTCAGGATTTTTGCATTGGTTCACCCCAAATTCACCATTAGATCACATAGCATGTTCATGGCTACAGCCTGCACCCAAAAACACACACATCCACTGTTTTGTAGGGCTGCGATGGCACAAAAACGTGATTACAAAGCACGGATCCACATGGATCCTCAGGATTTTTGCTTTGGGTCACCCCAAATTCACCATCAGATCACATAGCATGTCCATGGCTACAGCCTGCACCAAAAAAAATCATGCACCCACTGTTTTGTGGGGCTGCAATGGTGCAAAAACGTGGTTACAAAGCACGGATCCACATGGATCCTCAGGATTTTTGCATTGGGCTACCCCAAACTCACCGTCAAATCACATGTCTGTGGCCACAGCAAGAACCACAAAAATCATACATCCACTGTTTCGTTCAGAATATTTTTTTTCCTTGTTTTCCTCCTCTAAAAACTAGGTGCGTCTTATGGAGCAAAAAAATATGGTATAATGGAATGGGCTGTCTTCTGCAGAAGCCAAGCAAGATGTAAAGTAAGAAGCAAGACGCGTGAAGGATGTGTAGGGATGTGAGTGAGCTCAGGTTCTGATATTTTTCTCTACCCTGCCTGGAGTGCTAGGAGGTGCCAAGAATGGAAGGACCTTTAAAATAGTAAGCTCATACTCTATCACTGAATAGCAAAGGTGAAAATGTGAATTTGAACTGTCAAATGCTAGAAAGGAAATAGGTTACATTAGTCAATACCTTGGCCCCAATTGTTAATTACAGGTTCAGCCGGAAAGGCGTTTTAGCTCTATAAATATTTTGTTGGGTGATGTTGGCATCACAAGAGACGTAAAAAGGTTGGGGGATGCTGAGGCGGGGGTCAGTAATTGTAATCTAAGAATTTTGGGAACGGGGACGTCCTATGACTCAGTGCCCCCGCCGTGAAGCCTCCAGGGGGCGCCATTGAGGCTCCCAGCTTGTATGCAAATGCACATAGTTTTTTTTTTGTTTTTGCCAAACTGGGTCTTTGACTTGGGTGAAATAAAGCCTAGTTTTGGCCCTGTGAAAGGGAGATCTGGGAAGACATTTCCATCTGAAATTCTGGAGAGCCACAGATATTCGGTATTAACAACACTGCCCAACGACCAGGGGTAGTATTACAGGCCAGGTGATGGTACAGCCATCATTTATGAAAGGCCATCCACTACTGGGCACCCAAGGCTTTCTGGGACCTCCTTAATGATAAACTGTGGCTGGATTAATGGGCCCTTGCATTAATAAGAAGGCTGAGAGTGAGAGGCAATCTTTCCACTTGGAATGAGTGATGTGTTGGGTTTGGCACTTTGGCTTGGAATGCTTGGAAGCTAGAATCACTTTTTCAACATGTCACATTCCAGGGATCAACAACAACATTGCCAACACCCCCTCTTTTCTCAGGAGGAGAATTTTTGCGGCATTACATCAGGCGGGGTGCGCAACTTGGAACCATTGCCATGAGCACCCATTGAACTTGCTCCACATTCAAGGCTGCTCTATTTGGGCAGGAATATGTAAAAACATAGGGACGCGGGTGGCGCTGTGGGTTAAACCACAGAGCCTAGGACTTGCCGATCAGAAGGTCAGCAGTTCAAATCCCCGTGACAGGGTGAGCTCCCGTTGCTCAGTCCCTGCTCCTGCCAACCTAGCAGTTCGAAAGCACATCAAAGTGCAAGTAGATAAATCGTTACTGCTCCTGCGGGAAGGTAAATGGCGTCTCCGTGCGCTGCTCTAGTTTGTCAGAAGCAGCTTAGTCATGCTGGCCACATGACCCAGAAGCTGTACGCCGGCTCCCTCAGCCAATAAAGCAAGATGAGCACCGCAACCCCAGAGTCGGCCACAACTGGACCTAATGGTCAGGGGTCCCTTTACCTATGTAATATATAGTTTTCCACAGTGATATCTAATGTGGCAGGGATGCGGGTAGTGCTGTGGGTTAAACCACAGAGCCTAGGATTTGCCGATCAGAAGGTCGGCGGTTTGAATCCCCACGACGGGGTGAGCTCCTGTTGCTCGGTCCATGCTCCTAGCACCTAGCAGTTCGAAAGCACGTCAAAGTGCAAGTAGATAAATGGGTACTGCTCCGGCGGGAAGGTAAACTGCATTTCCGTGCGCTGCTCTGGTTCGCCAGAAGCGGCTTAGTCATGCTGGCCACATGACCCGGAAGCTGTACACCGGCTCCCTCGGCCAATAAAGTGAGATGAGGGCCGCAACCCCAGAGTCGGCCACGACTGGACCTAATGGTCAGGGGTCCCTTTACCTATGTAATAACATATAGTTTTTCACAGTGATATCTAATGTGGCTCAGGGTTTTTGTTTTTCAAACGATGGGAGCAGTGGACATAAGGAAGGAGGGAAACATGAATACTGGAATGTCAGGAGCAAAAGCACAACTCCCTTTGACAGCCCAGAAATGGAATTAGACAGTTGCACAACCTGATCTGCCATCTGTTTGACTGCTTTATAAGTACGCCTCTTGTTCCATTTAACTTTACAGTCTTTCTTCCAGAGCACCAGGGATGAATTTCTGGGAGACTGCGCTTTGTGCTTTCTCAGCTTCCCTCTTGGCACTCCTACTTGGTTGGCTCTATACAGTAGGAGCATTTCGCAAGAGGAGACCCAAAGAACCTCCGCTGGACAAAGGCTTCATTCCATGGCTAGGACATGCGATTAAATTCAAGAAAAACCCTGCTGAATTTTTGGAAGTGATGCGGAAGAAACATGGGGACATTTTCACACTGCTGGTTGGCGGCAATTATATACATTTTCTGGCGGATGCTGATTCCTACGAACCAATACTGAAAGAGTCACCTGACAAATTGGATTTTGATAAGTTTGGATCAATGATAGTTTTAAATGTTTTTGCTTTTCAACCAACTGACTCTCACCACCATATTTTGAAAAAAATAAGCAAGGAATATCTGAGAGGTAAGGGTCTGGCTGTCCTAAATAAGGTGATGATGGAGAAATTGAAGACCGTGATGCTTCATAGCTGGGATTCAGGTGAGCATAAGAGACACTGGCAGCAGGATGGGGTTTTTCACTTTAGCTACAAAACAATATTCCAGGCTGCTTTTCTGGCCTTGTTTGGAACTGAGCTAGACAAGGAAAATGCCAAGAAGAACACATTAACACAATGTGGAGAGTTCTTTGGGAATTTCCAGAAATTTGATCACTTATTTCCCCAGATGGCTCTTGGAATCCTGGACCCTCAGGGTAAAAAGGACACGGAAAGGCTGAGGAACTTCTTCTGGGACAAACTGTCAGTAGAAAAGATATGCAAGAAGGATAACATCAGCAAGTGGATAGCTGTGCAAGATCAGCAAATGGCTGAGATTGGGATGACTGAGAAGATGAGGACACAATTTATGTTTCTTCTCCTCTGGGCATCTCAAGCCAACACTGGTCCAGCTGCCTTCTGGGTTCTTGTGCATCTCCTGAAGTATCCAGAAGCAATGAAGGCAGTGAGGGAAGAAGTGGACCGAGTACTGAGAGAGACTGGCCAGGAAGTGAATCCAGGAAGCCCCATCATCGATGTCTCCCTGGAAACAATAAAGACTCCTCTTCTGGACAGTACAATAGAAGAAATACTGCGCTTGAAAGTGAGTCCATTCCTGTTCAGAAGTGTGATGCAGGATACAGATCTTAAAATGGCTGATGGGAGGGAATATATTTTTCGCAAAGGAGACCAACTTCTTCTTTTCCCTTTCCTTGGACTGCATATGGACCCAGAAATCTACCCTGATCCTCACACGTTCAGATACGACAGGTTCTTGAACCCAGATGGCACCAAAAGAGAGTTCTATAAGAATGGGAAGAAGCTCAAAAAATACACTATGCCTTTTGGCGGAGGGCCGTCTATTTGCCCTGGGCGATTCTTTGCTGTTAGTGAATTGAAGATGTTTGTGATCCTGATGCTCACCTGCTTTGACATGGAACTGGTTAACGCAGAAGAGGAAATCCCACCAGTAGATGGAAGCCGCTGTGGCTTTGGAGCTACACATCCTTCTCGAGATATCAAGTTCAGATATCGGCTGCGGTTGTAAAGTGAAATACAGTGGTACCTCTGGTTACAGATGCTTCAGGTTACAGACTCCGCTAACCCAGAAATAGTACCTCGGGTTAAGAACTTTGCTTCAGGATGAGAACAGAAATCGCGCAGTGGCAGTGGGAGGCCCCATTAGCTAAAGTGGTACCTCAGGTTAAGAACGGTTTCAGGTTAAGAATGGACCTTCGGAATGAATTAAGTACGTAACCAGAGGTACCACTGTATCCCAGTTTCGCTTTCAGAGCCATGACTGGCAGCTCCTAATTCTGTTTATTCCTGGGTGAAATAATATATAAAAGAGGGGTGGGAAAGCTTTGGCCCATGGACCAGTCAGTTTGGGCAGGAAATAGGGTGCACAGCAAAGCAGCAAAATGTTACCCAAGAAGAGGTTTTTGTCAAAATGCCCTGCCAAAATGCTTTCTGTGTATGAACTTTAAAACAGTATAGTACAGTGGTACCTCTGGTTGTGAATGCAACCTGCAGTGGGGCATCTGTGCATGCGCAGGTTGTGATTTGCCACTTCTGCGCATGCGCGTGACATCATTTTGCGCATCTGTGCATGCACGAGCGGCAAAACCCAGAAGTAAGCCTTTCCGGTACTTCTGGGTTGTCGCAGGACGCAACCTGAAAAAACGTATCATGAAGCAAATGTAACATGAGGTATGACTGTATTATAAAAATATTGTCAGTATATTAATAGCCGACGTGTTGCTTGTTGTTGTACAGAGTGTTCTGTTTTGCAATACAGGTGATTTTCTTTGGTGTACAAAGAAGTATGCTTGACATCTTCATTATATAGTTTTCACTGGATGCCCTAGGCTCTGTGGTTTAGACCACAGCGCCACCCGCATTCCTCTGCAGTCCTATACATGTAGGATAATCTGCAATTCTATGCTGAGTAGACATGTATAGGATTGAATTCTACCAGGATATATTTCATCATTTTAAGGACTGCACTCTTGGCTCCTGAGGCTACACTATCAGTGACAACCCACATAGCCTAGAAGTTCACAGGGTGGCCTTGGGCCAGTCACTGTGTCTCAGTCTAACCCACCTCCACCTTGAGCAAAAGTGATATATATATATATATATATATATATATATATATATGCAGGTTTTGGTGTCCTCGGGTGTCTTCCCGTGTAAAAGTTGGGGTGTCTAGGCAACGTTTCGACGAGGTCTCACTCGTCATCTTCAGGCTGGTGCTTTCGGCTTCTTGTTACTGGAACAGAGCAGGATCTCAGTGTTTGAGTTCCTATAAATACTGTTGAGGGGGTGTGGTGTATAGCCTCCAATGTTCTGGGCAGAGAGGAAGTTCCCAGGCTAGTGTGCCTTTCCTTCTTTTGTTCCTTAATTACTTGAGGGATATCTTGAGTGATTTCTTGAGTGATATTCTGAGTACCACTTAGGTGGGTCATTAGGTGTGGATTAGTTGCTAAAGCCTTCGTGTCTTGACCTCTTGAACTTTGTGAAGAGTTTTTCTGAGAAGAAAATCCCAGACGCCAGAACAGCAAGAGGGATCGCTGGGCAGTGACCCCTCTTGCTGTTCTGGCTTCTGGGATAGCTGCACAGCCTGCATTTGCTCCATAAGATACACACATAAGATACACTCCATAAGATACACCCCCTCAACAGTATTTAGTACTCAAACACTGAGATCCTGCTCTGTTCCAGTAACAAGAAGCCGAAAGCACCAGCCTGAAGATGACGAGTGAGACCTCGTCGAAACGTTGCCTAGACACCCCAACTTTTACACGGGAAGACACCCGAGGACACCAAAACCTGCATTCCTGTACCCGTGAAAATCTACGAAAGCATATATATATATATATATATATATATATATTGCTCTATAAGACACACCAGACCATAAGACGCACCTAGTTTTGGAGGAGGAAAACAAGAAAAAAAATATTCTAAATCCCAGACGCCAGAACAGCAAGAGGGATCGCTGGGCAGTGACCCCTCTTGCTGTTCTGGCTTCTGGGATAGCTGCACAGCCTGCATTTGCTCCATAAGATACACACACATTTCCCCTTACTTTTTAGGAGGGAAAAAGTGTGTCTTATAGAGAGAAAAATATAGTATATTGGGAAGCGGTTTGTCCATTTCTTCTCGGTGTGTTCAGATGCTTCTTGTGAGATGGTTGCCAAATGGCATTGAGAGTTCTCAATGCGGGCACCAATCTCTGTTTATGTTCGGCCCTTTTGAATCAAGGGGGTGGACCAAAATGACACTTGGATGCGACTTCACATTTTCTGGGCATAGGTTTAGCCACCCCTCAAGATATCATCAGGGATGCGGGTGGCGCTGTGGGTTAAACCACACAGCCTAGGACTTGCCGATCAGAAGGTCGGCGGTTCGAATCCCCGCGATGGGGTGAGCTCTCATTGCTCGGTCCCTGCTCCTGCCCACCTAGCAGTTCGAAAGCACATCAAAGTGCAAGTAGATAAATAGGTACCACTCCGGCAGGAAGGTAAACAGCATTTCTGTGTGCTGCTCTGGTTCGCCAGAAGTGGCTTACTCATGCTGGACACATGACCCGGAAGCTGTACGCCGGCTCCCTCGGCCAATAAAGCAAGATGAGCACTGCAACCCTAGAGTTGGTCACGACTGGACCTAATGGCCAGGTGTCCCTTTACTTTTACCTTACCATATATCATCATCATCATTTTTTATTAAATTTATATACTGCTGTTTATCCGAAGATCACAGGGCAATTTATGGCATAAAAAAACAAAATGGAAACACAAAATACATATCATAAGAACAAAAACAATGAAAAACCCAAACCCCTCCCACAAACACATTTTATTTTTTAAAAAAATAATATTTATTACTTTTCCAACAATTTAAACACTACAAAAAAGGAACAATACAATACAATACAATACAATACAATACAATACAAAACACTACATAACACTAACACATTAAACTAAAAAAAAAAACAAAAACAATTTAAAACACATCAAACACATCAAACAATTTCAGTATCTTATCTTTCATTCACTTATTTCAACGACCTCCTCACACCTCCCTTTTGGTATTCCACTTCTGTTAATTGTTTCAGCAATTCCTTTCCATCTTCCTCTGTTTTCTATCCTATAATCATCTTAACACATTCTAACCTTATTTTTCCCTTTGATACGCTATTAAACTATTTATACTTAATTCCTTATAACATTTCTACTAAAGCCATATAACCTCATTCCAACATTTTTCTAACATTCATTAATTTTACAGTATTTCTGTAGATAGTCTTTAAACTTTTTCCAGTCTTCTTCCACCGCCTCTTCTCCCTGGTCTCGGATTCTGCCAGTCATTTCCGCCAGTTCCATATAGTCCATCAACTTCATCTGCCATTCTTCCCCACAAACACATTTTAAAGGGTATAGATTGTTCAATTGCCCAAAGGACTGGCTATAGAGGACTGTTTTTGTCTGGCGTCTAGAGATAGATAGTGAAGGCACCAGGCAAGGGAGTGCAGCTGTGCAGTAGTGTCAAACCCAGGGTGATGTGGGCCCTTTGGATTCCTGCACCTTTGGCCCGTGCCCAACCTGGCTGGCAGCTACCCTTGGCAATAGGGACAGGTTAGGGCCAAGAAGAATTGTGCCACACTTTGTACATGGATTGAGCCTTCTACCCCATCTTGTGGCAGATAGTGGCATCACAACGGGGGGGGGGGTGTGCCCCAGGTTCCATGCCTGCGGAGGTGACAAGAAGTCACCCTGCGGGGGCTCGAGGCAGCATGAGCAGCCACTGCGCTGCCGCAGCCGCATGTGGAGGGTCCTCCGTTCGCAGCTGCAGCCACAAGCAGAGGATCGTGGCACCGTACAGCGCTGGAGCGGCGCCGCTGGCAAACTGCTATACAGCACATGTGCGGCGTTGCTACGTATGGCGCATGCGTCGTACATAGCAATGCCACACGTGCGCCCTACGTAGCGACGCCCGCCCCAGGTGTCACGACGCCTTCCTTCGCCCCTGGTGGCAGGAATGTAGGGTCCTAACATTCAGATAATTGCAGCATATCCCATGGGTTTTGGCTGCATTTACTGATGAGGGACACGGGTGGCGCTGTGGGTTAAACCACAGAGCCTAGGACTTGCCGATCGAAAGGTTGGCAGTTCGAATCCCCGCAATGGTGTGAGCTCCCATTGCTCGGTCCCTCCTCCTGCCAACTTAGCAGTTCGAAAGCACGTCAAAGTGCAAGTAGATAAATAGGTACCACTCCAGGCAGGAAGGTAAACAGAGTTTCCGTGCGCTGCTCTGGTTTGCCAGAAGTGGCTTAGTCATGCTGGCCACATGACCCGGAAGCTGTATGCCGGCTCACGACTGGACCTAATGGTCAGGGGTCCCTTTACCTTTACTGATGAGGAATTATTTATGCAGCTTTATTCGATCCCCACATGACTGCATCCTCTCATATACATACATACTTCCGTAATTTTATTTGTATGTCACCTTTCCACAGTTCAAACCATGCTGAAAGCGTCTTATAGCATAAAAAATATGTAACTGCAACATAGCAAAAGTTGTCATAAAGACTAAATAAAACATTAAAAAATACACAACCAAACTGAACAATTTCCACAGGAATCACGAGAAGAGCTAAAATAAAGAAAAAAGAAATGAGATTCACCTGGCATGACTAGTTTTTTAGAAACCCGTGCTGTGTTTTAATAATCACGTCATCCATTTCTAAGTACTTTTCAAAGTGCCATGTGGTCCCATCACTATACATGGATGCTTTTAGTTAAACCTGCCTCTTTTAAATGCCGCTATTTCAACAATTTTAACAATTTATTGTAGGGAGTATTCATTTTGCACAAATGATCAAGACAATAGCAGGGGAGCAGGTGTTTATCTCCCTGATCCAGCTTTGGGGAGGGAGTAGAAACTGCAAAACTGGTTCTCCTTTTGGAATTTCATTAGATTAGAAACCCGTAATCAGAAATCCATAATAATGTGTTTCTAAGGATTGTTGTTTTGTGTCGC